TTATATTTCTTTCTCTTTGTTTTACTTTAGCTTTGTAATATTTTATTAATCAATGTATTTTTTTATTTAACGATGTTCATGTTGCGAAATAAACATGAATGAAGCTGTTTATTAATTACAATTTATATAACAGATTCTTACCTAATAAATATAATAAAATTATCACGTCAGTTTAATCAAGTATCTTAACGTATATACATGTTAATCCTTATTATTTAAAAGCGCATAAAAATATTGTAATCGTAAAAAAACAAGCAAAAAAATAGAATATTCTTAATGTAAATGGTAATTTTTAATTTTTAAACCGCAATAGACGAATGACTGAAATGTAGTCAAAATATTTAAGAGTAATTTAATTAATTGATTAGTTTCAAAAAATACATTTATATTTATATTATTAATTACACATATATTAATAAATTTTTAACATTTTCAATTAACAGATTTTTATTTTTTTACACCATGTTTTTTGTTGCATAAAAATTTAAAGAATTTGATCTTTGCAATCTATCTACTTTTAGCATTCTTGCTTCTTTTCAGCTTCAACAGTACTCTTTTTATTTCGAAAAATAGAATCTTTTAGATGGTTAATTTTTTTTTTTCTCTTATATGTCGATATGTGTATAAGATATACTGCTAAAACTTAACGTATATATTTTTATGTATCTAACTGACACGAATAAAATGTGCTAGAGATTAAAAATCAAAATATTGTTTTCAAACACATCTTCTGAGAAATAGAAAAGATACATGTACTGTTATGAGACCTTGAATTATTATCCTATTTATTTTTGTAACATTATCCTGCCAGTTTTAAATTTGGTTATTTTGTGACAATATCGTTTCAATGTTGTTTCTATGGCTGCGGTCGAGAAGACGCTAGAGATACTTCGAAGCGTTGCATTAACCAATGAGAATAGAGAAATCTTTAATCTTTTTGTCCTGATTGGTCAATCAAACACTTCGAAGTATTTCTAGCATCTTCCCCACCACATATAATCAGATACTTCTTCTTCTTCTTCTTTGTTTATATGGCTCCGCGTCGCCACTCGCCACACGGCCAGTATAATCAGATAAAGTACACGCTCCGCACGGTATCTTAATTGTAAAAAGAAATTTGTGTAGATATATTTGCTGTTTGATTTATTCTGTAAGTACTTTATCGTTCTACTCTGTATTCTTCCTTCCATTTTAAAGAGTTATGTCAAAAATATATACAAACATTTTGAAGTTGTTGTGTTTTATATATGTATTCTATACATAATTTAAAAAAAGAAAACATATACTATCTAGTTTTTATAAATTCAATCACAGCCAATAGAACAACGTGAGACGAAAGTCACGGTCATATAATATTCATTTTGTAATATAGCAATTAATTCGTCTAAAATTATACAACATGCTTTTATGTATTTCTATATTAACTTTTTTTTGTAGGTTATTGTAATGGCCACTAGGGAACAAATTCAAGAATATCTCGATATAAGGGATATTATCGATATAAAAGTAAATGCTGTTTTAAGTAAAAATGTATCTATAGATACCATACCAGAAGGTGAAGAAAGGAATATGATAAAATTAACAGTAGCAACTGTAGAAAAAAAACAGAAATATTTGCACGAAAAGGTATTATATAAGGAAGCAATAATCGATTATAAGGTCAATTTCGGCTCCAACCCGAGAGCGGTAAGAAGAGTTGCAGCCAAATGGAAACTTGAACCTACGATTCTTAACTTGGAAATATATAAACATACTCTAACTGACTCAAATTATGTATTTGATAAAGATATAGAAGGAGATTACATTTCATATGCACAGGAAGAAGAATTATGGCAATATTTAAAATGGGTGGCAGATTGTTTGCCTTGCTCTTGTAGAGCTTGTTTTTTGATAGATTCTTCAGAATATGCTTGCGAATTTTTCAAACGGCGGGATATAGATGATCGTTACCTGCAGTGTTTAGATGAAGCGGCATCAATAGAATGGATAAAAAAATTCGAAATGAGGCACCATGACGAAATTTATAACTTATGCAAGAAGTCGTGTAATAAGACCTGCAGTGTAGCATCTGTAGAACCTGTATGTAGTATTAGCACGAATCAATAACAACTGTTGTCAATGTTTTGATGGAGAAATTATTTTCGAATTATCAAAAAAGTCTAAAATGTTTTATAGTCAACAAATTTTAATCTATTTCGGTATTGCATTGTGATGAAATATTAATATTAATTTTTTTTTTTTCTCTTATATGTCGATATGTGTATGTGATATACTGCTAAAATTCATCGTATATATTTTTATGTATCTAACTGACACGAATAAAATGTGCTAGAGATTTAAAATCAAAATATTGTTTTCAAACACATCTTCTGAGAAATAGAAAAGATACATGTACTGTTATGAGACCTTGAATTAATATCCTATTTATTTTTGTAACATTATCCTGCCAGTTTTAAATTTGGTTATTTTGTGACAATATCGTTTCAATGTTGTTTCTATGGCTGCGGTCGGGAAGACGCTAGAAATGCTTCGAAGCATTGCATTAACCAATCAGAATAAATAAATCTTTACTCATTCTGTCCTGATTGGTCAATCAAATGTTTCGAAGCATTTCTAGTGTCTTCCCGCAGCCTATGTCTATGGGCTTCTCTCTGTCGTTACCATTATAGGGATCACTCCATGAAGGAAGAGTAAGGAGAGTTATTTACCTAGATTGAAAGTGGTCACGAAAAATGTTCCGTATGTGGCCAGATTTGCCGAATGGAATAACTTGGATCATTTCGTCGCCATCTTGAATCTTCGTATATGTATAGTGTTACGTTTAGTTGTGGTAGTAATTAGTAAGTAGTATGTCATCCAACACACTTACTGATCACTAATACAACTAAACATAACACTATATATGTACGAATATTCAAGATGGCGACGAATTGGTCCACGTCATTCCATTTGGCAAACCTGGCCACATACGGAACATTTTTCGTGACCACTTTTTTTCTCTCTACACTATCGAGATAACTCTTCTTACTCTTCCTTCATGGATCACTCCTTCATATGTTGCCCCTCTCACAGCAGAAGGAGCAGTAGCAGTAGCGCGATTCAATAATTTGCTATCGGCTTGCTATCGAATTTTCGGTATCGTTAACTAGCGGCAGCCAATGGCAAGGACAATTCTAGTGAAAAGCGCATCTCTCATAGGCTATCGCTCGCTAAAGCCCGTATCAGACTACGCATTGAAGATTAAGATTGAAGATCGAAGATTGAAATTCGACCAATCAAGACAAAGAAATTTTAGTCTCTTTTGTTCTGATTAGTCAAATTTCAATCTTTAATCTTCAATCTTCAATTATCAATGCGTAGTCTGATACGGTCTTTCTTTTGCTC